CTGGGATTCGAACCGCGGTCGACTACATGGGAGTTCAGTGACATAGCCATTATGCTAACTGCTGGTCCTGGGATAGTAACTCTTATCCTATCTACCTCAGAGCTATTAGGAAAGGCCACATGATATAAAATGACCCTAAAACACTTTGAATACTGTAGAATTGGGCTGTATGTGAGATGATATGATTATCATCAGTCTGCATGAATGTCCTTCTCAATGTGTTTTCAAAATGTCTGCAACTGTCTGCTTGTTTCAAAACTTTTCAAGATATTTCTGGATAAAATTAACTGTCACACACATATAATACCATTGTTCAGGATAATTCATCTCGAGGTAGCATTTTTATACCTAATAGTTCAAAGATGACTATAAATTGGATATACACAGTTTTCTGATGAAAACCGAACTTAGGAACTGGCCTCATAATGTAGGGGTTAAGGGAGCACCTTAGCCACCTTGAAATGTTCTCAGATTTAAAAGTTGTCTCTACTAAAAAGCCAATGAATTCTGTGTTGGCAGTTTACATGAACTAAAATACTGAAGAAAAATAACTCATTTTAGAAATTTGAAATAAAGTAAATTATTTAAATATTCTTGCATAAAAGGACAGATCTCTGCTCACATTAACCATAGAGCTGGGCTGACTGAAAGCACAGTGGTTAGGGAAGTTGGATCCCATAGAGCCAACTGTGGTTTGAGTCCTAACCCTTGTGGCTTGAAACACATAATGGGTGCATGCACATGCCCCAAATCCTTATGGATTGGAGAAAGACTTCAGAAAAAGGATTGTGTCCTAGCTATTCTCCACTGAGAGGTACTTTCTCTGGTAATAAAAAGAGAGAGAGTGAGAGACAAGATGCTTTTCTAAATTTTTCATAAGCTTTTGACAAAAAAAAAAAAAATAAAAATCCATGGCTAGATGAAAATATGTAGAAATAAACCAAAATGAGGGAATTACTAATGGTGATATTACCAACTAAATGTAATGACTATGTGAATTGCAGTTGTATACTTCTTTAACAAACTATTTGTTGTGTACTGTTCCTAAGGATAGGAATTTTTTTTTTTTTAATAACAAATTCAAGTTAATTTCTGTCTGCACCAGTATTCTTTTGAACCACAACCTGCTACTTACTAGTCATTAGATTTTTAAAAAATAATTATTTGGAACCAGCAGTTAGCATAATGGCTATGTCGCTGGACTCCCATGTAGTTGACCATGGTTTGAGTCCCGGACCCGGTGGCTTAAACTTATGCCGGGCACATGTGCGTGCGTGCCCAAGATCCTGAGAGGAGAATGGAGAAGGGATTATGGCATGGCCATCCTCCCTGGAGGGTGATTTCTCACTTTCTCTCTCTCTGTCTGTGTCTGTCTTTCTGACAAGCACATGTGCCCTATAGCAAAAACCTCTCCAAAAAAATTATTTAATTTTAATTATTAATATTTTTTAAAAATTTGCTATAGGGTCCACATGCTCACTGGAGATAGACAGTGAGTGAGGGGGGTGAGAAAGAAAGCTATCAGGTCCAGGACTCAAACTGTGGTTGGTCATTTGGAAATCAACTGCCTAAACCACCTACTGGCCCACTAGTCATTAGATTTTAAGAAATAACTCTGTGACTTGAATTGGTGAGAACATTGGACTAGGTATAAAAGAACATGAGTTTTATTTCTAGTCTTGTTACTAACTAGCAGAATGACCTTGGGCAGTCATAACCACTCCTCTAGTTTCTCTTTTTTGCCATCTGTTCAATGATTAAGATTGGACAAGATGCCCCCTTAGATTTATTCTGGAGCTACATGTCCCTGAAAATTTACGTTTAAAAATTTTTTTTAGCTGTTCGTTTAGGTTAGCCTGTGGCCTGGTGGTTGAGGTTACTGGATTCCACATGTCTAATCTCGCAAGTGGAGTTTCAGGGTGGCTTGAAAAATACATGAGATGTGTGTGCATGTGCTCCCAAAATTTCATGAGGAAGAAGAGACGAAAGAGAAGGGATTGCAATGTGACCAGGCTCCATGAGGTGCTTTTTCCCTTCCTCTCCCTCCCTACATTTAGCGTGCACACACACACACACACACACACACACACACACCCTCTAGCAATTTTTTTTTTTTAAAGTTCTTTTAGATTTCAGTCACCACATGAAAGAAAAGAAAAGTGATCTTTGGTTCACAACGCCAATGAACTTTTTGAAAATGACCATCCATTCACATAAAGCTGATATAAGTAAAATTGAAAGCAGAAATATAAACATGTATACCATTTTAAAGTTCCTTCTACGTAGAACTTAAACTCTTTTTCCAAGAAATATATTCAAGTCTAATATTGCATTTCAAAGAAGAGAATTACTTAATAAATAACAATGCTCAATGTCATATTCTTTCTTGAATACCAATTAAGGAATGACATCATCCAATACCACTTTGTCTCTGTGAATACAAACTAAGGTATTGGCCTTGTTTGATTTTGGGTTCAGAAAACAGCTTACTGGGCAATCCCCATGTACTAAGTTCTGTGTGTTTATGGTATATCATTTCAAGATGCCACAGTACAGTCAATATTAAGAGAATTTGGAAATGTATATTTGAGTTAGGAAAAACTTCTCCACTGCTGTCTGGGGGAAAATGACAAGCTTTGTACAGTACCCTGGGACAATGCGGTAGATTTCTTATGATTGTTTAGTCTGGTCAATGGCAAAGGGGTGTAAAATATTGGGTAAATTTCAAATATTCATGGGACTGCCATGTGCTATAGTCCACTTATTGTTGAGCTCTAGATTGATGCAGGAAATCTCAAACTGTGGGGCATGTGTTTCTTGTGGGATTTGAGTAGATCTAGGCATTTAAGACTCAGAAATCACCTCATAAGAAAATTGTTCCTTTTCAAATATTTCACAATTCTAATGTTTCCTAGTATAAAGACTCAGTCTACTATTAGTGTGCTTCTAATACTTCTCTAAACTACAAATTCCTTTAGTAATAAAGAGTGAATCAGCCAGGAGTGTTAAAACCTTCTGAAAACATATCTGGCAATAACTTTTTTTTTTTCCTTTTTAGAGGTTTTGGCATTAGGGCACGTGTGCTTACCAGAGAGAGGGACAGTGAGAAGGAAAGTGAGAAATCACTCCCCGGGAAGATAGCCATGCCACAGTCCCTTCTCCTCTACTCTCCTTCTGGCATCTTGGGCACACATGCACATATGCCCAGCATGAGTTTTGTTTTTGTTTTTGTTTTTGCTTTTGTTTTTTAGAGGTTTTTGCTGTAGGGTGTGAGTGCTTGCTAGAAAGATAGAGAGAGACAGAGAGTCAGAAACCAAGAAATCACCCCCTGGGGGGGATGGCTATGCTGCGATCCTTCTCCATTCTCCTCTTGGGATCTTGGGCACACACACACACACACACACACACACACACCTGGCTTGAGTTTAAGCCACTGGGTCCAGGACTCGAACTACAATCGACTACATGGGAGTCCAGCGACATAGCCATTACGCCAACTGCTAGTCCCAGGCTATGCTTTATTTTAACATATATGCAACTGAGTTTCAAATATCAGTTTATTGTATGAAATAGAAAATATATATATACATAGAAATGATGCTGGTGGTTGTGGTTTAGTTTCCCAATCTATTAAGCAAAGCTTATTTAACTATTATTGCTGCTAATTAGAAAATGATAGACATTGTCATCTCATTTATATGAGACTATTCATCCCTGGTCTCAGTTATTCCCAGAGTAGAGCAGATATCAGAATTAACTGGCGGGCTTGTCAAAACACAGGAGTGTCAACCCCATAGCCTAGTGGTTAAAGGAGCAAGATACCACATGACTGACCATGGTTTGAATCCCAGCCCTGGAGGCTTGAAAAACATGCCAAGCAGGTGTACATGCTCCAAATTGTGATGAGATGAAGAAATGGAGAAGGGATTGTCTTGTGACTATACCCTGTTGGGTGGTGCTTTCTTTCATTCCTGTTCCCTCTTTCTGCCTGCTGGTCTTTCTCTGGCAAATCCATGTGCCTTCTGGCAATAACACATACACACACAAATAGTTGGCCACCTTTAGAGTTTCTGATTAATAGTTTGGGGTGGGGTACTAGAGTTTGCATTTCTAGCAAGTTACTGGGTAACACTGAGGCTAATGACACAGTTCTGAGAGCACACTTTGAAACCCTGTGGTCTAATGAAAGGCAGATTGGCAGAAAAATGAAGCCCGTAGGTTATGGTTATCAGCCCAGATTTCAGCCCTGTCTTTGACACTTATGAACTGTGTACATGGACAAGTTAGAGATCAGTTTTGTCATCTGTAAAATGATCATTATATTTGTGGAGAGTATTTAATGAGATGATGTATAAGTGCATAGAACAGTGCCTAGCATGTTACGGACTTTTGTTTGATGAAACATCAATAGCTATAGGTGACAATAATTAAAGTGTGAGTAGTCAGCAGTGGTCATAGAAAGAATGTACACATTTACCTTAATTCAATTGCAGTAAGAGTTTATTAGTCCATTCTAAGTAAGCTTGGACAGAGAGATTTTTTTTTTTATTGATGACAAGAAATGTTCTGTGCAAGAAGGGCTTTCAGGGACCAGCAGATGGTGTAATGGTTACATCATTGGACTCTCACATAGTCAGCCTGGTTCAAGTACCAGATTGGCGACTTAAAACTTATGTTGGGCATGTGTGTGTGCATGCCCCAAATCCAGAGAGTAGAGCAGAGGAGATGGGATTGCGACGTGATCATCCCTCCTAGGGGATGATTTTTCACTTTTGGCTAGCACATGTGACCTATAGCAAAAATATCTTTTAAAATATTAATTCATTAAAATAAAGTAAAAGAAAGAAGGACTTCCAGTAAAAGAAGTAGTACCCCTAGTTAGCAAAAGTACTTTCTAGTGCACATTGGAGATTAGATCTTGACTGCAGTTTAAAGTCTCTCTGTGCGCCATGTTTTTCAATAGTTGGAGCTCATTGCATCTGTTTTTTCCCTTTCCTTAGCAACAAGAGCAAGACCCAACAAACCTATACATCTCAAATCTCCCCATTTCTATGGATGAACAGGAACTTGAGAATATGCTGAAACCCTTCGGACACGTCATTTCCACGAGAATACTAAGAGACGCTAATGGAGTCAGCAGAGGTGTTGGCTTTGCCAGGTAACCTGCTTTTCCTCATCGTGCCTTTTTAATTCTGTTCCTTTCTAATGCTAGGGACTAGAGCCAAAGAATATGGGGGGAGAAAGAAAAAGTGAAGAAAGAAAAGAAGAAAAGAAAAAAAGTAGCTTTGCAAATATGTTCTATTTCTATATCTTTGTTTCCAGTCAAAAAATCCCAATGCCATTTCACATCGAAAAATTATGTACATAGAATGTGTTTATCTGTCTCAAGTCATCATGATGTGTATACCCAGTTCTCAGTCCTCTCTGGGCCTATAAATCAACAAAATCAGATGCTGCCAATTTCTGGCAAGGATAATAAATGCCTTGTATCCCAAAGCAAAAGATCCTGTGTGGTGAACAAAACAGCCAAATGTTTTTTTATTGATTTCCAAAGAAGAAAGATGGTAGAATTTCTCAGTAAGGAGGAAAGAGAGAAAAGATTTAGAGAAACAAGAATCAGAAAGCCCCCAGGAACTCAGAAATGTAAGGTGAGGTCAAAGAGGGCATGTGCATTTAAGAGATCCTGGCTGTGTGTTTTTGATATTTTAGGCAGAACACAGAAGAAAATTGTATTTTATTGTCAGAAAAGGAAGACTAGTTTTCACTTAAAGAGAATGTTTACAAAAGAGGATCTCAGCCAGAAATGGAGTTAAACATGGTTGTACCTGCTGTGCTTTCAAGAAAAACAAAGCTAAAGAAACCACAGAGAAAAAGAAATTGCTCAATGACAAAGAGGAAAACTAAAACCCCTATCTCCATGGCTTGGTGTGTTTATGTGTGTCTCTGGCTGACTTAATATAGAGTAATGGATAGATGTCAGGTGTCATCTGGAAGTCAGTCCCGTGTAGATAATAGGTGAGTGTGTCCACCTAGGGTGAACCTTGCCATTACTCCAGAAACCATCCCTAATCAGCTTTTGTTACCTCGCTTTGGAAGACAACAGGTTTTAAGAGACATGCTAACTTGTCTCAGATTAAAGACAAGAAAGTGGTAGTCCACATCTTAAAATTCTTTGTATTCCCCATAGTGTTCTACATATAGTAGACCAGTAGACATATGTAAGGTACATGCTTTATGATCTAAATAGAAGTAGAATGAAGAAAATCTCCCTGATGTGAATGTATGCGTGAGGCATTTAGGCTTTGAAAACATTGATGACTGTTGATTTTCATGGTCAAGGCAGAACTAATGATACCACCTGGGTCTCTGAATTTTGCCAATATAGTCATTCTTGGATAGTGTAAAACCTGCTATCAGCAATCTGAACAAGTGGGAGTATACTGAAATGACTGCTGTGTTCATTTCACACAGCATGAACATTCCTTTGGTTCTTTCTCCATTCCCTGCCCTCTGAAAACACTCTCTAATAAAATGGTTTCTTCTTTATTTGTACTCCTGCTGAGAAATAAATGCATTACAAATTCATCAAGAGAACATATTTTCTAAGAAGATTCTACTGTTTTTTGGGAGATTTTGTTTTTGTTTTTATTTTATAACAAAGGATTTTTTGGCACAAAGTATATTAATTTGCTAGGGATACCATAACAAAATATAGTAAACTGGGTAGTTTAGACTACAAAAATGTATTTTCTCACAATCTAGAGACTAGACTATAGAAGATTTAATACTACGCCAAGTAAGTCAGACTATGATGGATAAACACTGTATATCTCCACTCAGTATATAACAAATGTTGATATTCTATGGTAGAATATTCTTTGTTGAAAGAGCAAAGATATAATAGTAGGGAGAAAAAGTGTAGGTATCAGGAGATTATAAGGAAGACAAGATGGACAGTTGAGACTGTGTGAGAGAGGTTCGGAAATAAACATTTAACAGTCATAAAAATGTAAAGTGGAGCCAGCAGGTGGTATGGTGGTTGGGGCTCTGGCTTCCCACATGGCTGACTATAGTTTGAGTCTTGGACCTGGCAGCTTGCTTTGTTATTTTCCCTCTCTCTCTCCATAGTCAAATTAAAAAAAAAAAATTAACAATAATGAGTAAAATTAAATCATTCTTTTTTTAAAGAAATAAAGTTCTCCATTGAAAATGATGTATATGGGGCCAGCAGGTGATATAGTTATTAAGGGTGCTAGAATCCTACATAGCCAACTGCGGTTTGAGTCCTGGACCTGGTGGCTTGCTTTCTCACTTTTATTCTCTCGCTCTCTGTCCCTTTTTCATCAAATTAAAAAATAAATAATTAAATAGACAAAGTTAATTTTAAAAAATAGGTCAAAGAGAATTATGTATCTGGAAATACCTTTGATTCAATGATCACATATTACATGCGTACTTTGTAAAATCATATGATGTGCTGTGGAGCTGTTCAATGATTGAACGTTAGTAAGAAGTCCTAAAACAAAACAAAGCAAAACAAATAAAATCTAAGGATGTTAGAGTCTGGCTTACAGCCCTTCAATATGGTCTGAGTGGTGCCACTTGCTGTCGACGTTATCCCTGATGTCACTCACCTTTCTGGCCGTGACTTCCTGCCTCATAGTCAGGGCACCAGCTGTCTATAACTCTTCCATGTTTTACCTAACCATAGGCCTAAACATCTGTTCCTCAAAGAATCCTTCACTGAACTCCAACCTCTGGATTTAAAGTTAGGCACTCTTGTTCTAATTCCTATCAAAGTATTGTTTATTTGTTCAGATAAAATTGATCAGAATTTGCAGTGCGTTCACTATATGATTTCTGTCTTCACCCTCTAGGTTGCGTGTTTCCTTGAGTCAAGTTTCCGTTTTCATTGTTGGTGGGATGGATGGATGGATAGATGGGTAGCTGGATGATGGATTTTATAATTACCATCCTTTCAAGTTCTTAAATAAACTCAGTAGCCTTTGAACACTTTGAACTTCGAATATTAATTATCAGTCACATTCAAATCTTGAAACTTAGGCCTCTATTCTATAAATAATGTATTCTCCAATTTCCAAAAGGGGCACATGATTAAAAAGGAAAATGGAGGTTCAAGTCAAGCCAATGTTTCGTATTTCTTTCTCTCTCTCTTTTTGTTTTGTTTTGGTTTGTTTTTTGTTTTGTTTGTTTATTTGTTTGTTTGCTATGGGGTGTGTATACTCCCTGGAGAGAGAAATGAAGGGAGAGAGAGAGGGAAAGTATGAAACATATAGTAGACCAGTAGACATATGTAAGGTACATGCTTTATGATCTAAATAGAAGTAGAATGAAGAAAATCTCCCTGATGTGAATGTATGCGTGAGGCATTTAGGCTTTGAAAACATTGATGACTGTTGATTTTCATGGTCAAGGCAGAACTAATGATACCACCTGGGTCTCTGAATTTTGCCAATATAGTCATTCTTGGATAGTGTAAAACCTGCTATCAGCAATCTGAACAAGTGGGAGTATACTGAAATGACTGCTGTGTTCATTTCACACAGCATGAACATTCCTTTGGTTCTTTCTCCATTCCCTGCCCTCTGAAAACACTCTCTAATAAAATGGTTTCTTCTTTATTTGTACTCCTGCTGAGAAATAAATGCATTACAAATTCATCAAGAGAACATATTTTCTAAGAAGATTCTACTGTTTTTTGGGAGATTTTGTTTTTGTTTTTATTTTATAACAAAGGATTTTTTGGCACAAAGTATATTAATTTGCTAGGGATACCATAACAAAATATAGTAAACTGGGTAGTTTAGACTACAAAAATGTATTTTCTCACAATCTAGAGACTAGACTATAGAAGATTTAATACTACGCCAAGTAAGTCAGACTATGATGGATAAACACTGTATATCTCCACTCAGTATATAACAAATGTTGATATTCTATGGTAGAATATTCTTTGTTGAAAGAGCAAAGATATAATAGTAGGGAGAAAAAGTGTAGGTATCAGGAGATTATAAGGAAGACAAGATGGACAGTTGAGACTGTGTGAGAGAGGTTCGGAAATAAACATTTAACAGTCATAAAAATGTAAAGTGGAGCCAGCAGGTGGTATGGTGGTTGGGGCTCTGGCTTCCCACATGGCTGACTATAGTTTGAGTCTTGGACCTGGCAGCTTGCTTTGTTATTTTCCCTCTCTCTCTCCATAGTCAAATTAAAAAAAAAAAATTAACAATAATGAGTAAAATTAAATCATTCTTTTTTTAAAGAAATAAAGTTCTCCATTGAAAATGATGTATATGGGGCCAGCAGGTGATATAGTTATTAAGGGTGCTAGAATCCTACATAGCCAACTGCGGTTTGAGTCCTGGACCTGGTGGCTTGCTTTCTCACTTTTATTCTCTCGCTCTCTGTCCCTTTTTCATCAAATTAAAAAATAAATAATTAAATAGACAAAGTTAATTTTAAAAAATAGGTCAAAGAGAATTATGTATCTGGAAATACCTTTGATTCAATGATCACATATTACATGCGTACTTTGTAAAATCATATGATGTGCTGTGGAGCTGTTCAATGATTGAACGTTAGTAAGAAGTCCTAAAACAAAACAAAGCAAAACAAATAAAATCTAAGGATGTTAGAGTCTGGCTTACAGCCCTTCAATATGGTCTGAGTGGTGCCACTTGCTGTCGACGTTATCCCTGATGTCACTCACCTTTCTGGCCGTGACTTCCTGCCTCATAGTCAGGGCACCAGCTGTCTATAACTCTTCCATGTTTTACCTAACCATAGGCCTAAACATCTGTTCCTCAAAGAATCCTTCACTGAACTCCAACCTCTGGATTTAAAGTTAGGCACTCTTGTTCTAATTCCTATCAAAGTATTGTTTATTTGTTCAGATAAAATTGATCAGAATTTGCAGTGCGTTCACTATATGATTTCTGTCTTCACCCTCTAGGTTGCGTGTTTCCTTGAGTCAAGTTTCCGTTTTCATTGTTGGTGGGATGGATGGATGGATAGATGGGTAGCTGGATGATGGATTTTATAATTACCATCCTTTCAAGTTCTTAAATAAACTCAGTAGCCTTTGAACACTTTGAACTTCGAATATTAATTATCAGTCACATTCAAATCTTGAAACTT